ATCAACGCCGACCATGAAGATCCTATGACAGCTGCAGAAAGTTTAGTGAGCCTTCATTTACAACTTGTAAGTCGGCTGAAAAATAATGTCCACTCATTTGGTAATAACAAAACAAAACAAAAAAGCCCACAGGTAAAAATTTTATATACATGTATGTGATATGATTTATTTTACAAATGATCCACCTGTACCGTTGATTGTGCAGCTGCCTCCATCACAACAGAGCAATGTCTGATCAACTTTCGATGAAAGTTCTTCAGGTGTGAGATCATATGCTGACTCTTCATCCAAAGTTGTAACTGGCTCAGGAAGACAGTCCTCGCACTCTGAAGCAGTGTTTCTGTCTGTGGAGTCCTCATGTAAATAAATGCTAACTGCAGCTTTTGGTGTAATTGATCTTGATCTCAGCAAGTTTATGCGTTCGTCGGTTATCCCTAAATATGAAATCACATATATAATTATGAATAAAAACATTTGAAACATGCTATATTTTAACATGTTGAGTACAAGTGCCTGTTCCATGTGTGTATTATTACTCACATTTGGTTGAATTCGGATATTGCTATTGCAATCTATTTTCAGCAAATTATCTAGCCATCTTTGCTTCATTATGTGATTCACCCCGAGTTACCACAATGCTGTCTTTGGATATCTTGCTTGATGACGTAGCACATGATGTTTTGCCAGTTCTCTTAACTTTCTTCAAGTTGATATCACACACGTACTGGTTTCACTTTCTTTCTGGACATGTCATTCCATGCACAGGATCGTGTCGTGCAGGCTGAAGCGGAAAGGCCCAGTTTCACTGCCATGTCCACCTTAAACATGATTGCTGCTGCACAGCTGCAACATGAACCAACGCTGAAACAAAAAGACTGAATAATTCAAATTGAATAGGAAACTGTTGAACATTATTTGTGATTTTATTGAGACAAAGGTGTAAATATGTAGGATCTATATTAAAGTTGTGCTTAATCTTATATCTCTTTAAACTTCAACTACGCTATAGCTACATATCACATCAAATTGTCACAACAATTAAACTCATGATCATTCGTCACACACAAATGTTCGGTACAGTTTACAACTACTGCATGGTTATTTGCTAAATTATCCTCTCAGCATTTATTAGTTGAATTAGATTGTCCATAATTGAAATTTGAAGACACCTACTTACCCTGCCACGCATGTGTAGTTAGCGGTCAGTATGGAGCCAGTCTTCTTATTCACACATAACCATGCATGATAACACTGAGACTTTTGTCCCTGTCTTTGACGAGGCAAGACATCGGCTTTCAGTAAACAAAAGTCACATTTTTCAGCAGCTTGATGAAAAAGAATCGACTAAACATGGCCACACACCATGTCATTATAAGCATCAAGACTCTTGTAGGCTTTGAGAGTCTCGTGTGTGAAAACACGACGGGTATTTATCAAATATAGGCAGCGGTGCGTGAGTGGACTCTGTTCACCGACGAGTGCTTTTGCCTACGAGATGCGTGTGCATCTTCATGACGTCATTGTTGTTTGCAAACATTGAAACTGGTCTATTGGTTAGTTTTGACAATGTCATTGTTTTACACATGAGAGTAACAGTTTTAGAGATGCAATTGAAAGATTTATAGCTAAAATTCAACAGACAATTGGGATGGATGGATGGATGGATGGATGATATTCACATGGTGTCACCAGCCTTCCTAATGAGCTTGTTAATTATTTGTATGTATCTGGCACTGAATAATAAAATTGTGATTCCGATGGACCATGAGAATACCGGCCACTCGAATATCTTGCTGCACATGTAGAGAAATCTGCTCAATTCATTCTTTTACACAGCCACAACATCAGATCCATATGAGGCTAGTCTGGTTGGATACCTGGGGTGCTCTAGTATGTCCCAAGACCTGGTTTGGTTGAGGGATAACTAAGATTCTATCTTTTAAGGTGTTTTAAAAATCGGGCAAAGAGGTCAACATATCGGAATCCAGGTCAACATGCCAGTTTTCAGAAGCCTTTTATTTTGAAATGGGACATCAGATCTGAGCGAGGGTAATCTGGTTGGATACCTGGGGTGCTCTAGTGTCCCCCAGACCTTGTCTGGTTGAGGGATAATTAAAATTCATTTTTAAAATAATTTTTTGAAACAAGGCAACAAGGACAAAATGTCAGAATACAGAAGCATTTTATTTTGAAATGGAACATCAGATCTGAATGCCAGTTCTGGAGTTGGATACCTGGGGTGCCTTCGTGTGTCGAAAACTTGGTGTGGTTGCGAGATAACTAAGATTAACGTTTTAATGATTTATTAAGTATCGGGTGAAATTGATGTAGAATTACCTACCACTGACTTTATTTTCTGTCTACACTTGAGAACGCTTCTTGGCACTGTTCTGAGAGTTCTTATTCTTCCTGGGTGAACTTATCGTTACCCGACAGCCAGGAAATTACTTATTTTATATTTTAATTTCTTTCTTTTAATTCAAACCACTGACATGCATGCATTAGTTGAAGTGCTCATATTTTGAAGGTGGCCAACACTGCTCGCCGGCGGCAGATTACCGTAATGCAGTGTTTTTCAACCCGTGTGCCGCGGCACCGGAGACATTGTCATGTGTGCCGTGGGAAAATATCCAATTTGTATGCCTGTGCGGTCTTTCGCCCAGAAAGTAATCATGTAGTACCTTCCCATACCGCTAGGGAGCAGCAACAGCTAGCCAATTGCCTTGTGTTTCGACGACAGACAAGCGAATTTGTGACGCATGAATGCAGGACGACGGTGAAACAATAAATATGAAAGATGAGAAAATACATTTTCTTTGTGTTCATTTGATTCCAATTCAAGCTGTTGTAATGTCATTCTTCAATGCTAAAAATGGTTATAGTATCAATATAACACATTAATTATTCAAATAAACGTTTTTTTTTACTTCACATTTTCAGCTAGTGGTGTGCCGCGACATTTTTCCAATGAAAGAAGTGTGCTTTGGCTCAAAAAAGTTTGAAAAACACTGCCGTAATGCACAGTATTGACAATCGCAGTGGCGGCTCACTTGACTTGACTGGCTTGACTGCAGTGGCGAGTCCATCAGCAACAAATGTCTAATCCGTTTTGGGTTGTTTTTTTAAGGTCAAACTCTCTCAAACCAACAAGTTAGTTGATCTGCTCAAGCACAGAGTTATTAAAAGTTTGACCCAGTGATAGGCATTCAGTTCCTAGGACGGAAAGATCCGTCCGTCCGTCACGTACCTATGGAAGCCCAATGCACTGCAACAGACAGAATATGAAATATCTCGATGCACCGCTTGTCTCGTGCGTTCACTGTTTTTGTATGCGGGAGGTAGTGACTTCACTTTGCTTCAAGAGGACAAGAGGAGGACTTACTCCCCGACCATCAAAAAAAGTTGACACATACCAGGCAGTCTGGTGACCGACGGCTGTTGTATACCTCTTGGTCCCGTCCCACAATCGGAAATTGTCTCACGTATTTTGTGTGTGTGTGTGTGTGTGTGTGTGTGTGTGTGTGTGTGTGTGTGTGTGTGTGTTTTCATTTTTACTTTATTCGGCTGCATCTGCTTATTCATGTGTGTCGATCGCGGGAGGTTGGTCAAAAGTCAGTCTTCGGTCAAAAAAGTTTGGCCAGTGCAGCCCTATGCGGCAAGCTGACCCAAGTAGTAAGTAACCGCTGCAGGTCGCATGCAGACAGTGCGTGCTTCGAGTGGCAACAACGGAATGCAAGCCAGATTTGAAGAGCATCGTTCAAGAGGAGGAATGCCAGCAGTCCCTGCACTAAGGCGCTAAGCAACATGCATAGTAAGAGAAAACGTTATTTAAATTTTTGTTTGTGGATTTGGTTGAACTGAGAGTTTTTGTGTGTGAGACAGTGCACACAATAGTCATTGTTGAAAATGACTGGCCTGTTGTCTTATTACTGTAGGAGTCAATTTCTGTCATTATCATGTTTGTGTGTGACATTTACAATAAAACATAGCTGAGCTGAAGTCTCTCTTTGTGTGTGTGTGTGTGTGTGTGTGTGTGTGTGTGTGTGTGTGTGTGTGTGTGTGCGTGCCTGCGTGTGTGCGCTTGTGTGTGTTTTTGCGTGTGTGTGTGTGTGTGTGTGTGTGTGTGTGTGCGTGCCTGCGTGTGTGCGCTTGTGTGTGTTTTTGCGTGTGTGTGTGTGTGTGTGTGTGTGTGTGTGTGAGGAAGGGATGCGGTGATGTTTATGTTTGCCCATGTGTATGATGTGGCTCTTTGCAGTAACACAGTCAAAACAAAATGACTCATAGTCTCTGACTGGTTGGCCACACCTGCTCAAGGGGATCATGTACTTCTCAGGCCATCAGTAACCCACCACCAAGCAGGTTATGCTGGAGGATTTTGCAGGGAGCGGCAAGTTCTCCATTGTGTATCCTTACTCCCACATGTCTGTCACATGATTTTAGTGTGAACCAGCTTTCATCTGTGAAGAGAATAGAGTGCCAAGGGTGTATCTGACAATTTTAGTGTTCTCTGGCAAATGTCACTGAAGCCGCACAATCCCAGCCCATCAGCACCATTTTCGACCAGCATCGACCCAGGTCATTTTATTGGGTTCTTAAGTGGTAATTCAAATGTAAACACATTTACAGATTTATGTAATTTACAGTATTGGGCAAATATCACAGGTCGCTGATAAATTTGTTTCAGCAGTGCAATCATGAGCATACACTGAAACGCCAATGTCACCACTACTACAGTACCCTGGTCTCTGGAAGGCGTAAGTGTCAGCAAAAATGAAATGAATATTACTGTTTGTTTATCATCAAGCTACTTCCTGGCTCATGTGGGGGGAGGGTGGACAGAATAAAGTCCAGCATCTGTGAAAAGAACTAAGTGCCAAAGTGCCAAAGGTTGCCAGTTCTAGTGTTTCTAGCAAATACCACTCCACCCCCCCGCATAACACCCTGCCCCCCAACACACACACACACACACACACACACACACACACACACACACACACACACACACATCTCTTTATGTCTCTTCCATGCTCTTAAAACTGTGCTGAGAGAGACAGCAAACCTTGTGGCCATGCCGCTTAAGGATCTGTCATCCTCGAGAGTATGAGGAGAGAGAAATACTTTGTGACCATGAAATGAAAATCGAATATCTATTCATTTCCGTAACAGCTGCTCCTTAAGTAGACATGTTGATATCATGGTCAGCAATGGTTGATGAGGAGTTAAGTGTCTCCTTTTGTTTTGAATTAGTTTGTATTGTACTGCATGCCAACTTGATGTCCCTTTTAAACTATCACTTGCCATACTGCTATTATGTTGAGGATGTGCTCAACACAAGCTGCTGCAGAGAACTAAAATATTCAACACACCTCGACAGAGAGAGTGAGTTAAGGACTTGAACTCCTTCCTCTCTCTCCCACATCACTTCGGCTTTGGTGGTATAGGTTCACATGCCCATCTGTTGCTAGGCAACTATAAAATAAAGGCTCTGAAGTCAGAGAGAGAGAGAGAGAGAGAGAGAGAGAGAGAGAGAGAGAGAGAGAGAGAGAATTGCCAAGTACTACAGTTCGCCACTGTTTGTTTGGCTCTGCACATGATCCTATCACAGCTTTCAGTATCCATCTGTGGATCTATTTGGACTTGTGACTCCTGGGCCACCATCGGGCAACCAATCAGGACAAGCTGGGGGGCGGCCTGGTAGTTCCCAAGGTTACCCCGCATGATTGACGTTCAGTCTCCTGCAGCGGAACGCGCAGCAGTGGATCACTGTTGCTCCCGCTTTCCTCCGGAGACTGAAGAAATCGGAAAGCAAGAAAGAAAAAAACTGGAGGAAGAAGGATGCTTATGATTTAAAACCTTCACTGTTTTCCTGCTTTCCTTATTGGACAAGATGAAGGCGGGAGCCCTGGAAAAAGCCGGCTGAGGAAAAAGGAGAGGACGAAGAAGGGGGAATTTGTTGGTGAGAGTTTGTTCTGTCTGCCTTGCGCTTATCATCGAGCTGCTCATGCCAATGCTATGACTTATTGGGACGGGCTTTGACTGTTTTTCATTTTATGGATGCGTGGGAGTGAAGAAAACGTTCTGTGCTGTGTGGGTGTTGAAAAACCTTTTTTACATCATCGCTATTGGAAAGGCAAAAAGAGAATAGATGAGCCGGACAAAATACAACTCTTGCAAGACAATTCTTGTATTTGATCCATATTTTAGGCTTTGATGTCAAAGCTTGTTCAGCTATCCGAACAAAAGGAGGAGGAGAAGCAATTACATAATGCTTCATCTCCATCAGGAAGCTTAACATATATATGCAAAGCTTGTGTCAAATTTGATTCATGGCTGCATGATCTGTTATGTGTTAGGTGGTGGTTTTGTTTGTTTTGTTTTTTTGTCACTGACTGTGCATGATACGTTAGGACAGACTATATAACATATAGGAGGTGCTCATAAACTAAAGTCTGCATCAAGAATCGAGATTCCATTGGTGTCATCACATTGTGTAAACTTGCGTTGTAATGGATTAGTTATAAATCGAATTGGAGGTGTGCGCAGCATTTGTGTTAGCGGGCTTCCCTAAAACTGCCAGTGACCTCGGGTAAGACGACAGCTGCTTGCTCCATGCCCTCAGGACTCACTTTTGCACCATCGGGGACTTTCCGCTTAACTGCTCAGCCTGGGAATCCTATTCTTTACCATCTGAGGACACTTGACTTTGGGATCAGGTGTGATGGCGTGACAAAGTTGTACTCGTTTCTTTGTGCAAGACGGCTCAACGTGCTGCATGAGTTTGAGACTTCAGATATTTCACAGCTTTTCAGTCACTCTCTTGAGTTGTGCGTTCAGTCTCTGTGGAGTAGCCTGCCAGCAGAGGAGGGATCAACACATCCTCATAGATCTGTCTACTGCAGATATCTGGGCTTCTTTTCTGCTTCGGTAAACAGTATGCAGAGCAGTGGCATAGAAAAGGACTTAGAGAGATCAAACAGTGAGTCATATTAGAGCCCACAGCATTACACCTGGATCATGAAAACTCTCCAATCTGGGTAAACTGACTAAAAAACTCTTTGCCACACTTAAGTTAGACATGACATAATGTTGGTTTTGCTGCTGTTATGTTACGTACACGGCACACGTACTCATAGCAAAAACATTGTGGCCTGAATAACACAAAACACGTTCAAGCTTCAAGGTGTCACAGTCACTCATCCAGAGGCTTTTTTTTTTTCGACACGGGATGGGGGAAGTCAAAGTTGTTTTGTGCCACTTGGGAGCATTGACGTTGGTTTTGAGTGCAGAAACAGAACACATTTTTTGCGCATTCTTCTATTCGGGGTCCCAGTAAAGGGACTAGCTTGCTAAAACTCGCTATTATGCCACTGGCATGCCATCAGCAAATGTAAATAGTGTGTCATTGAATTGATGAGCAGTGTGTTGGGTTTTTTTGTCTTTTTTTTTTTTTTTTTGGCAAGCAATGTTGTGTTAATAAACTACTCACAGGCGGAGCTAGCTGCAAAGAAAATTGTGATTATTTGCATATGGACATCTGTACTTTGTAGCCATGAATTTTGACGTCTGTTTTGCCAGGGAAATTTTGACGGACGAATTAGCCCTTCCCCGGAGTGGTGAATACGGTAAATATTCAGGACACCGCTCCCCATTTTAACTGGACACTGGCGACATGGCCAAAGGGGAGCGTGAAACCTTCAGGAGTTATGTTAGCAAAGGAGTTTTTTGATGACAGTGCCAGTTTGAATGATCAAAAGTCGTGAAAAACTATATGATGTGGCCAATGAAGTCATGAATCAGGAAATAAAAAGAATACATTAAAAAAAACAAGATGAAAGAAAACATCGCAGCCATCCGACTTGCATTGCTCAAGAATGCTTTCTCAAGAATGTATTATAGATGATGAGGATGAGGATGGACTGACCTCATTCAAACATCAACACAAACTGCTCTCATTTCCAGTCTCGGCATTGCTATAACGCCAACACTCTGCAAGGTTGAACTGTCAGCATTTGTGAAAGACATATTTGTGTTTGTTAGCGGAACACTTCCTTATTCAAGGGACAGTACTACATCATTATCGAGATTGTCACCAAAATTCATTGTGATCTTCCTTAGCCCACACAAAGTTGCGCATAAAACCACGTTGTGCGATTTGTGATATTTATCTATAAATTTTCCATCCAATGAAAAATACATTTTCAGAGTGAAGGACATTTAAAACATTTTAAAATACTGTTTTGGCAGCATTTAAAATATGGTTTAAAAAGTCTATTCCCAGTTCTTATTCATGGGGTCGAAGCACTACAGGTCTGTAGGAGGTCAATTTTCGAAAAATGGAAACATATATTACCATCGACTGTAACTACTGCCAACTTATAATGTTAAAGTCACCATCTGTACTCATATGACCTATAAAAGACTCAAAATACATTCATGTACACTGCTTTGATGTTACCATGGGAACTAACCAGTGATTAACTTTACTTTCGAGATCTACGCTAATGGGTATCATAACACCCATCTCCTGTTGCATTATTTAAAAAAAAAAAGGAAAATAAGCAGACAAAGGTAATTGTGATTTCGACAGCGAAGAGCTTTGCTAGTGTTCGGTACATAAGTGAATTCATTAAGCTTCTTTCTATTATGACAGTTTTTTTAAGTTGTTGGTTGGTTAATTGTTTATTGAACATACAATACAATGACGGATTGACAAAAGGCACGCAAAAGTTACAAAAGGAAAAATAAAAAAAGTAAGTAAAACAAATATCATCACAGTTATATGCTCAAAGGAGTAGGTAGAAGTATACAACTTATCTAGTCCTACCCCTTCTTGTGTAATAATATAAATTGATCCTTTTTCAATACAAAAGAAAAGGAAGAGATCTACATCTCATCAAATACTTTTACCCTTATGTGTACTGTACTTATCTATTTATACACCTTTCTGTTTGTGTATATATATACATATATATATATACACACACACACACACACACACACACACACACACACACACACACACACACACACGCTGCCCGCTCTGAGCTCCA